TGTTTATTTTGATGAGATACATCTAAAAATTGTCGGTGAAATTGCTTTTTTGTATAAGTTTTTGTTAATAACAATTGCCGGCCCACTTGTAAAAATTAAAAAAAAAATACATTTCATCTTGGAAAAATATATAGAATCGAATAAAAAAGATTTGGTGCATCAGAAATGCAAAAAGAATTTTAGTCGGTATATTCTGTTTCTAAGCGTCTTTTAAGGGGTAAACCGTTCGCCTATTTGCGTTCTGGCTGTGTCGGGTCTTATTTCTGAGGCGTATGTCATTATTGGTCTTACACTGGCTTTATAAATTCTTGAATTCATCTCAGCGTTAATGTATAGTGTTATTAAGGTATTCTGCCAGTCTATTTGATTTTTGTACTTGATTTCTCACTTCTTTGTCCAGGTTCCCTAGCTAGACAGTTTAATTCTCAAGTATTTTATTTTCATTACTTGTTCAATACTGATGCCATCAATTTCTATTTTATATCTGGTTGGTTCTTTGCTGACTACTATTTTTTTAGTTTTCTGAGATCAGATTGGCATATTAAATTCTGTTGCTCTTGGGCTATCAATATTGCGTCGTCTGCGTAACAGACTATTTTTTTCTTTGTTTCCCATTCTGTATCCTCTTCCTTTGTTAACGCTTTTGATGATTTCATCCATCATCAAATTTAAGAGCATGGGGCTCAATGAATCCCCTTGTCCTATTCCGCTCCCTATTTCTATGGGTTCTTTAAGTTGTCCATTTTATCAATATAAAGTTATTTTATTAAGCTTTGAAAAGAGCAAGCGATGTGGTTGGACCTTTTTTGTCTCTTTGATAAACGTTGTGTAGTAAGAGATTCCAATAATAAGCTTTATGGTCGTATGGACTTCTCTAGCGGCCTACGTTTTTATTTTTGGGTGCGGTCCTAAAAATTTCTTGTCTTCCTACCTCACAAACGACGAAGTGTGTCTTTTTAATATAGAGAATAATTAATTTGGATAAATGCTTAGTTTTTATCTTATTTAATTCATAAGGGTGTATTTTAAGAATCCCTGACCTCTTTCGAACTGAGCAACCTGGCATACGTTCTTATCTGTGTGCACCTACAGGGTGATCATGCTTTTCTCCCCCTTACGTAAGCCTTTACTGTTACAAAATCTGCTTTTAGTTTGCGGTAATTTTTTTGGTATTGTTTGTTAGTAAACCAACTCAAATCCAAAAATTATTGAAACTCACTATTATCTGTTAACGTTGTGTTGTTTCTTTATTAAAAAAAGTTATTTTTAATGTATGTTCTGTTTTATTTCTTCATCTATGTTTCTATTTTCTTCAATAACAATACCTAGTTAGAGTTGCTGAACTGTGAACTGTTTTTTTTTTGCGTTTCCGACGCCAAAATTTTGTCTACTCAAGGAAAATCACGTAGATTCCATGTACTATTAAATAAAACATTTTATTCTACATTAATAATAGCATATTTTCCCAAATGGGTCCATTAATAACTTATTAAATAACACAATTACTAGAAAACTCATTATTGTAATTGTTCAAAACTTTTCAAACTTTTCAAAATCGTCTAATTATATAATTTATATGATCCGTGATGATTTCCAATACCAAGCTACCAACAATTACGTAATTTTAAAGGGAGATTGAAAAACTGATGAAATTTTTGTTTGTCATCTTTGCTTGTTTAAAAAATCCTTAACATTTGTAAACAACGTTAAAGTAATTGGGTCGTAAACAAATAAATATTTCAATCAATCAAATGGAAAAGATCTTATCGATTAAGTATAAAAAACGATACCTTCGCGAAACTTATCTTGAGATAACACGTTCAATAATAACAAATGCGTAAGAATTTGTTAGTGTTTAAAGGTTGAAAAGAAATAAAAATATCAAGGGAACAGGGAAGCGGGATGTAACAAGTATCTTACATCACTCAATATGCGGAATAGCATATACAACACTGCTTAAACTATCAGAACAAGAAATGCGCGGTTGCCAGGACACTACAGCATTCGACTATTCGCTTTCATTAGGAAAGGTGTTTCGTATGTAATTTCAACAAAAAACTATCTAAACTATGAAATATATCATCAAACACCCTCGGAGCAAAATTCCGATACGAATATCTCTCGGGCTAAAGCGGGGCATTCACGTTCCCATATTTAGTCCGACTTGTGGTCAACCTCCGAAGTTGAATCCGACATCGGACCTTGAGCGAGTTGGTTTGCTGAATTGTTAGAAATCTAGTTGTACGAGTCGGAACATCTAGAGAGACGATTCCATGTCCAGCTTCCTACTGCCTGTAGAACGTGAATGGAGAGGTCTGAAGTTAGAACTAAACTTTCCTAAGTCAGCGCTAGGCCTTAGGTACCTACTGCAGCGTCTTAAGTTAGTAATATTTACAGAGATAGTCTCTGTTTGTGGGATACTAGTAGCGCTCTCTACGCGAACCGAAATGCGCCGAAAATAGCCCAACATCACCTGCTGCATGTGATATCAAAGTACGAAAACACTGCCAACACAATAGTTAACATGATAACGAATAATGTCTTCGTCCAACATTTTTTTCCTTCTTCTCAAATGATGGTGCTAACAAGCACAATGTTGCCTTTTTCCTCACCTAATAATATTTTGCGTAGACTTTACTAGATACATTTTTTGGCCGAGCGATGTACACCACCGTGGAAACAGACTAGCACTAAAGGTGGAGCGCTAGTTTGATAGCAAGTCTGAGCTTGAGTGGAGGCTAATATCCAACTAGTAGTCCTATTAAGTGGGACTTCAGATCGGAACGTGAATGTCCCGCTTAAGGAACAACATGACGCAAAGGCAAGGTACTTCATCACTAGCTAGCCTCAAACTTAAGCTTCTCTACACCAACCATTTACACTCTTCCCAAGCAGAGATGTATGCAATTTTGAAGTGTGCAAGAGAAATTAACATGAAGACTTTTTAACTGAAGAGGTTTAGCATAGAAACAGACAATCAAGTGGAAATGGAGGCACTTAGAAGCATTAGGGCATACTCTCGGCTGCTATGGAAATGACGAGGAAAGTGAATATTCTTGAGAGAATATATAATGAGGCTGCTGCTGCATCTCAAGCCAGAACTTGTAATTCTAAGCAAACAGGTCTTTACACTATTTCAAGTAATCCTCGAACCTAATATTATCTTAATGTACTTTACTTTGTAAGTATATTAAGATAAAAAGAAAAAGCCAGTCAAGATTTGATTTCACGTACAATGCGTCTGTGTATCTGCTTATACGTATTTCGCCCTAATAGGGCTCATCAGAACAGCTATTCACAGGCGTTCTGAACGTGAGAATAAATCTTTTCTGTCTTAAGAAGCAACTCTAATATGGCTTCGTATAGACGCAAATAGCGACATCTGGTATTAGAATCCGTAAACTAATTTTCGAAATCAATTCAGATTTTTGCTTTAATGTAAGCAGATACACAGACGCATTGTACGTGAAATCAAATCTTGACTGTCTTTTTCTTTTTATTCGGATATACTCTGTATGAGTACAAGAAACCGATTCACTATGGATTTTTGCTAAGTTGAGGAGATATGTCGTGGAATGCAAATTTTAGATTCCCCATATCTCTATTAACATCTTTATCAACGTCTGTTTTGCCTTGCAATTCTTAGAAGGCACATATTAAAGCAAAAATCTGAATTTGGTTTCGAAAATTAGTTTACGGATTCTTATATAGAGATAATATTAGGTTTTAGATTTGTAACATTGAGATTTAACGGACATAATACCTCTAAATTCGTCTCTGGTAAATTTTGGACGTCTGGGTGCTTATATTAAGCCCTACATTTGAAGTGGCTCTCACTGTTCTAAGTTTAGATATTAACTAATACATGACTACATGCCATAAGAAAGGAGATAAGATTTCCTCTGCGGACAGCTTTGGACTATCTACACTGACGCTACATCAATAACATATTACACGGATGTTCAGCATGTAGTCTATCCATCTACAACTTGTTCAGTCTATTTCTTTCAGCAGAATTACCCCTGTAAGGCTTCGTAGTAGATTTTGTCGAATGCTCTCTCTACATCAGAAGATGCACTTATCATTCATCACCTCTAGTTTTTCTAGAACTTACTCCACAACTTGGCTGTTTTCAAAAGTAATATGACATGTTAAGACAAATCATGTTGTTGATTTCTAACGGTCAAAGACAGCAATGCACTTGAAGATCAAAAAGAATATCCTGAAACTAATACTTCAATAGTAAAAATAAAAACAATTTAATTTAAATCTTCGTTCATAAAATAGTTATATTACAAAGCTGTCCAACATGCAAGTCTTCCCCTATTCATTTGTTTCTTATGTTCTGTTTAGTGTGTTAATATCTAATGTTTGTTTTCCTTTTTCATGCTTCATACATCAAGACAAATTCTCAATCCTTATGTCAAACAAAATATTTCCATTCAACAATAAAAGATTCAAACATTCTACCATCCATCTATTAATAGAGTACCGCATCATTTGTTTAACTTTGTATCGAGACCTGAAGATGCTTTGCATATTGTAGAAAGCGAAACCGTCGTCTATAGTTAATTAATTGATTGTGAGTAAGTCTTATTTATTATTTGTTTACCTATTTGAATGGATCACAAGCAACTCATGTTTAATAAGAGTACCGGCCTCATTTGTTTTAACTTTGTATCGATACCTGAAGATGCTCCTTTTGCATATTGTAGAAAGCGAAACCGGTCGTCTGATAGTTAAATTAAATTGATTGTGAGTAAGTCTTATTTATTATTTGTTTTACCTATTTGAAATGGACTCACACAAGCAACACATTCATGGTTTTAATAACTTTTCATTTTACAAATTAGACATTATAATAAACCTATTTTTTCTTGAGCAATTGATATTAAATTACAATTTACAATTTTCTCATTGTATTTAATTACTGTATTTGTTAATGATTCTTAGATATTATATCGTATATTATAAACCTCCTTATATTATTTTCTTTGCAGTAACCACCACTACATGCTAAGGATAGCGCTAGAATAGAAGACTACACACAAATAGAAGACTACACAGAAACGAAATGTTTGCAAGAACTCTCCAGTTGCGATCCAACAATAAAATCAATCGGATAATACGATGGAACTACTCGACGAAAGTAGAATACAAGCCCATCAGAAGCGTTTTAGTCGCCAATAGAGGGGAAATAGCCGTTAGAGTATTTAGAGCATGTAACGAATTAGGAATTAAGTCTGTAGCTATATACTCCAAGGAAGACAGAGCTCACATCCATAGACTGAAAGCAGATGAGAGTTACATTGTAAGTATTTTTAGTTTTCTCTTCTTCTTCCTTCTTATATGTAGGCTTTAAAGCCTGTTTCTTCTTCAATATTAGGCTCCTAAATTGTTTAAATTATCGCATTAAACATCGCAAATTAACATATTTTTCTTGGTCTGCCAATACTTCTACCATTTGGTGACTTATCTAGCTATTCGTATTCGTATTTCGTATTTGGTGACGTGCTATTCGTACTATCCTATCCTCTGCCATTCTACTAATGTGTTCGTTCCACTCCTGTTTCCGTTTTGTCATCCATCCATTTATGTCTTCTATATTGCATGCTCTTCTTATGTTTTCGCTTCTCTCCCTATCCAACAGACTTTTCCCTGATATTCGTCGAAGTATTTTCATCTGTTATTTCTAGTAGTCGTCTCGTTTAAGATGTGTCAGGTCTTGTCTCCGTGGTGTATGTTAATATAGGTCTAATTGCTGCTTTATAGATTCTTGTTTTTGTGTCTTGTCTTAGGTGTTTGTTCTTCCAGATTGTGTCATTAAGAGATGTCTACGCAGTATCTTCTGGATCTGAATCCTTGTTGTTCTTCTGATAAAGTTGCTAGTTTATTGAATTTGTTGGTTAGGACCTTTATGGTAAGCTTAAGTGTGGTGTTCAGTATATTTATACCTCTATAATTGTTGGGGCCTCCTTTATCTCCTTTCTTGAACATTGGAATCATTATGCTGTTTCTCCATGTGTCTGGTATCTGAGTTTTACTTTCTCCTTCGTGTTTTAGAAGCTCGTTGGATATTTCGTCTGGTCCTGGTGACTTTCTATTTTTGATTTGATCCTGGTGATTTTTTTCTGTCTGATATATTTCCTATTCGTTTGCCGGTATGTTAGTGTATTCCTTTAATTCTACCATTTCTTTCCATTGGTTTCTTACGAATCTCCATATTTGTTTTTGTGTATCGTAAAAGTGGCTTTCCATCCTTTAACTGCCCCCAGTTTTAGTTCTGTCAATTTTTACATTACTTCCGATAGGATGGAAGGAGGATTGCTGGCTCCTTCCATCAGATATTAATGTTACACCCAAATATTTGAAGGATGAGCAATGCTTAATATTAAATTTTTTTGTAATGAAGTCTTGGTTGTTTTTATTGCCAATTATCTTATATTTGATCCCATGAGACCCATCTATTAAGGCTCCCTGATATTATTTAGAGAACGGTACAGAGTGTAAAGACAAGGAATTGTTCGATATTTGGCTGTATCCCCTAAATTTTTCCTGGTGTCAACCAATAGTTCGACGCTACATTGTCGACGTAATCTTGGCTGACCTTTGACAGTTTCCATTTCTCATATTTCTAGGTCGGTGAAGGACTACCTCCCGTAGAAGCTTACCTAAATATACCAGAAATCATAAATATATGCAAGGATAATGGAATCGACGCCGTCCATCCAGGTTATGGATTCCTTTCAGAACGCTCAGATTTTGCTCAAGCGGTTCTCGATGCCGGAATCAGGTTCATCGGGCCGTCACCGAAGGTGGTATATCAAATGGGTGATAAAGTAGCTGCTAGGGAAGCTGCAGTCGCAGCAGGTAAGTCACAAAAGTTTGTCTATCATTGCTAATTTACAAGTGATGGCATTTTGTTAACAATTGATAAACTGTATAATAGTTCGCCATATGAATAAAATAAAATAGAAATAAAGAGAAAAGACATATATTGTGTATTCTTATATTTTTCTTCGCAATTATTTTGAAAACAGTTAAGCAAATTTGCTTTTTCTTCTTTCTTCTTTTTATGTAGACATGACTCTGTTTTTCAATGTGCCACCAGTAAGTTGGCATTCTATCGTTTTCGTGGCCTTCCTACTGATTGTCTTCCTATTTGGGCACCGTCTCTTACCGTCTTTACGAATAGAGTACTATTCGTTGTTATTTGGCTTATATCATCTTTCCATTCTATTCTTCTATTTCTTACCCAGTCCTTGATGTTCTCCACCTTGCATCTACGTCATATATCTGTACTTCTAGCTCTGTCTGATAGTTTCTTACCATCAATTTTTCTAAGAGTGTTCATCTCTGCTGTTTATAACATCCTTTTTGTCCTGTCTGTGTCAGGTCATATTTCTGCCATATATTTCACTCTAATCTCCTTGTCATATCCCATTGCCAGCTTCAATAGGGTCGGTTAGTGCTTCTTCTACTTTTACATTTATTGTGTTGTTTTGGTAGATATTTTCGATCGTTTTGATTATTCCCAGAGGTATCCCTCTTGCGTACAATAAGCGGACAACGTCATTTAATTTGACCCGGTCAAATGCCTTGGACCGGATCCAATACATTTTTGGATTACTTTTAATAGTTGTTTGGTCGGATCTGCTCCTCCGTACTTTAGGAGTTCGTTCGGTATTCTGTCCTCTCCTGGTGATTTTCTGTTTTTAATTTCCTTAATGCTTTCTTTACCTCTTCCTCCTCAATTATTTCTTTGTTTGTCGTCACCTCTGTTGTTGGTGGTTCATTGTCGTCACCTTTAGCAAATAGGGATCGAAAGTAGTCTACCCATGTTTTCTTCTGAATGTGTTTCAGTTTTATTAGTTCGTTCATTTTTTTTTCTTTGTCCTCTGATGGTTCTCCATATTACTTTTTGTGTTCCGTAGAAGTCGTGTTCCATCTGTTTTAAGAAGCTCTGCCAGTGTTTTCTTTTTATTTGTCTAACTAATCGTATCATTTCTGATTAGTTTATAGTGGTTGTATGCCTGTTGTGTTTGTTGTGTTCTGTATTGTAAAAAGGCTTTCTTTTTTTCTTCACATTTTATCTTCACTTCCTCTCTAAACCATGGTGTTTTCTTTTTTGATATGTTAGTGTTCAGTACTTTCCTTTCTTCAAGTGATTCTCTTGCTGCATTAATTATGTTGTTTTTGAGTTTTTCCCAGTTTTCCTCCATGTTATCGTGGTCTAATATTTCATTCCCAGCGATCTTCTCTGATTATGGAAATCTAAACGTCAAAATAAATATATTATCAACTGAAATTGTGGTTTACGTTCATTAAACATAGTAGACAAGCTTATTTGTCTCATGGATTTATATTTTAATGTATTAATAACGAAGGGAAAATTAAACCCGTTCCTAATTAATATATACAAAGTAAGTAGGTATTAGTAGGTATCTATATCAATTATTTTATAACGACCGATTTTTTGCCGGTAATTGTTTGTTGTTTTCTCTTTACTCGTTTCATTCGTAGTCACTCTGTATTATAATAATTACATTCAATATTGTTGGAGACTTGTGTTTTCAATAAACGTTTAGGAACAAAGTTCATTGTATGAATAATTTTGCCTGTTATTGGAATTCCCGTCCGTGAATAATTCACCTTTTTTTACTTTTTAGTGTTGTCCAGTAGCGTACTAATAGTATCTATTGTAACGGATTTAAAACTTTTGTATTATTTTTGATCAAATTATGAACTGTATTTGTTAAAACGAAATAGTGTAATATATTATTAAAATAATAGCGACGTAAATGAAAAGTACCTTTCCGTTTTTTCGATTATTTTCCTCGGAATCCAATATCATGGATTGGCCACAATCAGGAGTACCTACGTGACACAACAATATTTTGCAAACTGAACGGACAGCCGGAGTGTGACGTCACATCTGTCATATTGTTGTTATTACTTAACAAACAAAAGTTGAAATGTCAAATCGCAAGACTTTAATTTCTATAAAGTTAACATTTTGCTTCCTCTGCTACTTTTTCTTTTAAGTATAGTGTTTTTTACGATAATACCATCACAATTCAGTGTTCTATTTCTATGAAATATAGTTTAAAAGTATACATTAAGGAAATTCTAACCTTACTTTATTGATGCATTTATTTTATTGCTATTTTTATAAAACAACATGCTTTATCATTTACACAACCTTCTAAAATTGTTGTAGTAACTATTAGAATACTTAGATATTGCAAAAAGAGGAAAGGTTCTGTAAAAAAATTAAAAAATAACGAAAAATACAAATTATCCACACTAAACAACGTTTGTTTGGAAAGTGAAACTGACAGATGTCAATCAAATTTACGTCATCACTCCGGCGGTCCATTCCAATGAGCTCTCTTCAATCTATTCGCGGGGGATGCGCTTCGCGCAAGATGGCAATGGATACACATTGTGTTAAGACATAATTCCGCAACAAGCGACTGTGACAGGCGAGATCGATTGTGGTCTCTTCAAGCAAGCAAGCAATTCTATTAAACCTAGCCTGTGAGACATGTTCACCCCTAAGATTTACGATCAGTTGTAACAATTCATTGGAGCGAGGTGTATTAACTCGAGTAAAAATAGGAGTCACTCAGGCCATCCCTTTCCCCCTATAGCACTCTGATGTGCGATAGGAGCACAACTATCAGCCAAATGCTCCTTATGTTGGAGTCCTGGGTAATAGAACTTCAACATGGTTTCCTAACCGAATCAAACTCAGGACAGCGAATTGTCGCTATGATCCTGTTATCTTAATGCTGGTCTCTTCATGTCTGCTCTCAATGCTATTATATTAAGGTCGTCCTGCAACCCCAGACAGATACAAGAAACAAACGACTGTTACCTATTTGTGTCTTATCAGTCTTCTTTAAAGCAGTAGTATAGTCCATCACTGCGCGACATTTCTGTTTTAGCACTGATTTGTACCTGGTTTCTTATTAAAAATAACTTGACAAAATAGCAGTTCTATGAATCACTAAAAAAAAACGCCGAGAAAATTTCAAGAGATCAAGTACTAATCATTATAGAGGATTTCAACGCTCAAATAAGAGAAATATGGAGAAAGAATATGTAATTTAGCAGCGGCATTAAACATGGACATAAGTAGCACGAGATATAAATACAAACATATACACAAAATAACATGGATAAGACTAGGAAGTCTGGAGGGAAATCAAATAGACAATGTAATGATTAAAAAGAAACACCAACAATCGATAAATGACTTTAGATCTCACAGAGAGGCCAACATCGATTCGGACCATATGCTAGTGATTACAAAGTGTAAAATAAAAACAATGAAGAATTAAAGACGAAAAGCACAGAAAAGATGGGAGGTAGATAAATTGGAAGAGAAAGAAGTAAAAAGAAAATTTGAAAAAGAAGTAAATGCAAAGATGCAGTCCAACTAACAACACATGGAGGAACAGTGGAAAAAATCAAACAAGAAATAAACAAAGCAGCGGAGAAAGTGGTTAGCAAAATGCAAAATGAAAGAAGAAATAATTGGTGTGACGTTGAGTGCAAACTAGCGGTGGAAGAAAACAAGATTGAAATGGTTAATCACAAGCAAAAACGACGTTGAAACGTTCAAATACATAATTGGGAGTAGTAGTCAACAGATGAAATGAAAGTGTAGATATGGAAAGAATAATTCAAGCGGTAAATAGAGCGTTCTACAGAAATAAAAAAATATTAGTTAAGAAAATATGCCTAAGCACAAAATTGAAAATTTACGAAAAGACCATAAGACGAATAGTGGTATATTGTATATTATGCTAACATACTTCAGACAGATTTAAATTAACAGAAAGAGAAGAATGGTAACTGAAAGTTTTTGAAAGGAAGATTATAAGAAAAATACTGGGACCAAAGAGGTAAAACGCAGAGAATGCAAGACAATGGATGAATCACGAAATACAAGAATGGATGGGTTAAGTGAACATAGTTAGAGCAATAAAGGCACAGAAGGACACAATGAGAAAGGAGAAGAGCAACCCGTTATAATGGAATGGATACCACCAGGTAAAAGAACCAGAGGCAGACGTAAACTGAGGTGTAGACACTAAGTGCAAGAAGACTTAAGTAGTAAGAAAATTAGAAATACAAGGACAATCAAAGGGAGAAAAGAATTAAAAAAAGTAGTGAAAACAACGAAGTCACACCAGAAACTGTAAAACCAAGCCCAGAATGGGATGATTGCCAACACAAAAAGGATTCCTATGTGAAAATTAATGGCAAGGAAGATGAATTGCTAATGCAGTTAGTGGCTAAAAAACCACCACTATTTGATCCTCAAGTAGAATCCTGCAAGGATGTTATCATCTTAGAAAATATAAAATCATTATACAGTTTTTTTCATTCGAAATATATAATACGAGAAATATATCATCAATTTCTTCTTCCAGTAGCCTTTTAACCCTCTAACTGGCAAGATTCTAAAAATTATTCTATTTACTTGGGAATTTTTTTCAAGTTTAATAATGTATTAAGAAACCTAGAAAAGCTATTAAAATGTAATTATCATTTTTTGTTTGTCTTCCAGGTAAAAACAGGTAAAGGGGTCCTCAGGGGGCCCTTGCCGGTTTAAGTTAAAAATAGCGTTTTATTTATTTGAATGAATTTTATTAAAATAAACTTAAAAACAAACGGAAAAGAAAGTGTGTACACTATTTTTTATGGTGATAATTATAAAAACAGTTTTTGGCATTAGAACAACATAAGTGAAGATCACATTTGCTACACATACATTGAGTTTTTGACACTTTGCAAAGTTTCCATTTTTTTACCACTCTCTTTGTTGAGCCAAAGTGGAAAGTGATCAATACCGTCGA